ATAAAAAACTATATTTATTATATTTTTAATTTGTATATTTAAAATACAAATTAGATAAATATTATATTAATTTTCAAAGTTGGATTCCACTAATTCTTTTCTTCCTAAAAATAAAATAAACAAAATTTTAAGCAAACCTTTTCAATCCAACATGTCATATCCTAGTGGCGGAAGTAATTGAAAGTCTTTTTGAAGTCTTGTGTTAAAGCCTTGGAGGATGCAAAGCTAAAGAAAATTTTCCAAAGACTTTAAACCATCCAGTTTAATGGTTTATATCAGTTTGAATGGTTTTATCGATTTTGAATGATTCAATCTCTTTACCGGTTCCAAGCACCTACCCAACCTGTTTATGTTATTGGGTGTCGGTTTGATTGGTTCAACTGGCCGATCCAATTCGGTTTTTAAAACAATGTCTAAAACACACAAAGGGCCATTTTACTTCACTAACCTTGGTTTGTGCATGTGACAGGTTTATTCATTTTTGTTGAGGTATAACACATAAGGGTATGATCTGTGTTTAACACCATTGAGCATTTTTTTTTAGATAAGCCATACATTGTGCATGAACCATGGATTTTATCGAGGATATTGCTAGATAAAGGAAAAGGTCAGGAAAGAATTGTGCATCTAATTCTGTTTCTAGGAAGTTTAAGGAGTTCATCTTTTCAGTCACCACTACCAAATTGGACCTAATATTGCTAAAGGCAGTTTATGACCTTTTGTCTTGTAAGGAAAAGCATGATTTTGAGGTGTGATTAGGGTGTATTGTGGATTTGTTTTCTGTAGTGTCGAATTGGGAATTATTTAGAGCTATGTTAAGATTTTATGTTCCTAGATATTGGGCATCTGTTTTCCCACAATTTGAGTTGGTGGTTACTATTGATAAGTATTATCAATTCTTACAGTGTAGTCTTGTGGTGGATTCACATACCTTTACCCTTAAACAACAGTATATACAGTTTACATGTTCAATGGTTCAAGAGATGTTTAGTGTATTTGTGGGTTGCCTTTTGATTTCACACAGTCTTTAGTGGAGACTACATGGAATGCTTATGGGTTTGATTGGAATGTAGCTTTTTCAACTTTAGGCAAGAGCTTGGTTAGTATGACATTTTCTCAAAGGATCAATTTTGTAGTACTTTGGGTTTATGGCAAGGTCATATTTTCTATTTATGTTATGTTTATTGAACCTATGGTGGTAGCTCGATTTGATCAACTGTTATTTACCGTGACATTTAATCTTGCTCTTACTATAGTTGCTTAGACCTTGAGATCTATGCAAGATATCCAATCAAAAGGTTCAAATTGCTTCTTAGGTTACATTGAGTTGTTTAATAAATGGGCATATGGTCACTTGATGGGTTCTCAATTTGAAGCTTTACTTAGTGTTCCTATTGAAGACAAGAAAGTAGAGGATTGACATCAAGCATTTTTGTTTGCAACTGTTAATGGTGTCAAATTTCTACTCCCAACTTGGAATGCTACTCACTATCTTTCTCCACTTGAGGGACATTACTCAATTCCTTTGTTGGATATTCATGGGTGAGTTACTTATTTGGTGGAGTTGGCATCCCATCAATTGGGAAAGGCACAAAGTGCTCTTTTTCTAGATGATGCTTTGTAACCACACTATAATTATGCATTTTTTATGATGGTTGTTGACACGTTATTCAAGGCACATAGAATGTGGGACAAATGTAAGATGTTGCCTATATAGAAGGAAAGGGAGACTAGACCACAATATGATCAATGGAGATTCGTTTGTTTCTTTGCCATGGGAGGTAACAAACATAAAAAACTTTACCATCATGGATTTGACTACCAAGACTTTAGTCATATTCAAAGACCTCATTTGCAAGAAAAGTATGATGAGTTAGCTCTTAATCATGAGTTGCTTAAAATGGGAAAGGAATTATCTTATCAACAAGTAGTGGGGTTGAAAGACAAGATCGCTTTGTTGGAAAAAGACTTGGTTGCTAGTGGACAAGTATGTGAGAAGCAAAAGAAAAGTTTGAAGTTTGCTAGAGAACAAAGGAAAAGGCTATTACAAGTGAAGGTGGATCTCATAGTAAAAGAGAAGGAGAACAAGAAGCTTGTTGAGAAATTATCATCATTGCCACCCATGGTGATCTTATTCATATTTCCATGAGTGAAAATTTTGTTAATTTCCAAAAAGTTATAAGGGTTGTTCCTATCTTGTTGAAGCAAATTATAAATTAATACATTATATGTGTGTTAATCGTGCATTAATCGTGCGTTAATCATGTGTTAATCATGCATTAATCGTGCATGTAGTTTTAATTTCTATTTAATTCATATGTTATATCTGATTTTAAGCTCTATTTTATATAATTATTACATATTATTATATATAGATTTATTTTAAACTTAGGTACTTAATGGTTAGTCCAAAAAATATAGTATAACCTCATCCATTCACTTGCATTTTTTTTTTTTTTTTTATGAACCACTCATTTAATGCTTACTCCCATAGGAAAACCATATTTAAATAATTAATTTGAGATAAACTCTTCAGTAATTTTTTGTCACAAGACAATAAATAAAATTATAAAATTATTTTGATTGCATGTATACTATATACTTGAACATAATATCAACATAGTAAAAATAATAGCTAAATTCAATAAATAGTCTGTCTATTTATTATGTGGTTTATTTTAATTAGTCTAGAAACAATTTTTTTTTCTTTTAAAATGATTTATAAACTATCAATTTTGTTTTAAAATGATCTACTTGACAAACATTCCGTTAACTAGACTAACGAAATGTTTGTCTTTCACAAGTTGGTGTAGACAAATTGCCCCTAAACTTTTGAAAAATGTTAAATATAGTACATATATTTTTGCTTTTTGCAACGTTTTGTTTTTAAAGTTTAAATTCTATGTCAAATATAATAATTAATTAAGATAATAATTTTAATTTACATTGATTAAGATTTTAATTTTAATTTACAATAATCAATATTATAA